TAGTGAAAAAATTCCAAAGTTGGGAAGTCCCTCCCAAGTTCGGGAGATGATAATGCTCTGAGGATTCCATGTGATTTGACCAGCCCAGGGGTCCTGGGGCTATTTTGTGGATTTCAAAGAGGCGCTCTATAACTATGGATGCTCTTGTGAGCACCGAAGGGGAAAACTGACTCCTGTCTGCATTCCAATCATTCTTCAAAGATCCCAAGGGTTTTGTGACAACCACAGGAAGGAAAGACAGTTGTTGAAAAGTATTCACTCCTAAGTGCAAATATTCCCAGTCTCAGACTAATTTCATGCAGGTTTTTCTTCCTCTTTCTTTGTAGGATTCTTTTTTGAAGTGGTTCTAATTTGTGATCAGAATGGGATGACGATCTATGCTTCAAATTGTAGGCTTTTAAACATGAGTTTGTACAACAAATTTATTGAGTACCGGCTATGTGCCAGACGCTTGGGAGGAAGCTGGAGTAGGTGCAAGAAGTCAAAAGCCTCTTGTCCCAAGAGGTTCTTGCGCTAGTGGGTGAGAGAGTTGAATCACTGCAATTCTGCTCAACAAGTGCTTAGCTGACATAGCAACGAGGCCTTCCTTGATCTCCTGACAGGGTTCAAACTAGTTATTAGCTCTCTTATCACCCCATGTGTTTCTCCTTCTTGGCTTTCATCACCAGTGTGATTTTATATTTATTTCTGTATTTATGGTTTAGTGCCTGTCTTTGCCATTAGCCACTATGTTCTGTGAAAGTCAAGATCATGTCTGGTGTTTGACACAATGGACTTCTTACATCTAGCAGAGGGTATATAGTGTCTCTGTGGGTGTTCATAAATATTTGTTTTGTGGGTTCATCAACCAAGAAGAGGATTTGTTTAGAGGGACAAGGGCAAGCCTCCAAGGAGACAGACATTTAAAGGCCACTGAGCCTTAAAGGATGACAAGGAGGTGCCCAGAGAAGAATAGAGACTCACTGAGGAAGAGAGGGCATTGAGGAGTGCTGTGGGGAGTAAAGTGAGGTAGTTGGTGTGTCCTGAATGGAGATGAATATGCAAGATAAGGCCGAGTTGAAGCCAAAGCATGAGTCTTGTATGTCCTGCTCATGGGCTGGGAATCTCCCTTTCTTAGGAAAAAGAGAGGGAGGGGAATCAGTTAACCCTATGGCTATGGGAATAAACATGATTTTTCCTGTATATATAAGAAGTTTCTTTAACACTTAAATTTTGAATTCTGATAGAAGGATCCCCCGACTATGGTTTGTGCTGTATTTCCTTCTACATTTACCCATTCATTTGCACTTGGTAGTTGTGTCTACCTGCTGCTGAAATGCCCATCTATACATTTCAAAATGGTTCTGTTAGGGGGAAAGGACGTCCTAAAGCTAATTCTATATAGGCTTTGTGGACTCCACCCCCACCCCAGGCCAAAGCCAAAGACACTGGGAACTCCAAATCCCATCCCCACCAAAGGGAAGGTGGCTGGGACCTGAGGGTGGGGTTAAGCAGCCAGATTGGTATAAAGCCAGACACGTGGGCTTTGGAGGGGTCCCCCATTTTGGCTCCCCGCCAGCTAGCAGCGTCCGGCCAGCTCTGAGAGTGCCTTTGGGTTTCCAGGTCGGCGGATCGGGTAGGACACGCATTAAAGACTTTATTTCCCTATTTTCTCCCTGAGTTGTACATTTTCCTTATTTCCTTTTCCCTTGTCAATAAACCTTTTATTAACCTTTTGTGTGTGCCTGTAGTGGAGTATTCATAAGTCCCTTGTAAGCACGAGGGTGAGGACCCACAGCCAGGCAACCCGTTCAATATAGGGGCTGCCCTATAACAGTTCTACAGCAGCACCATCACGTGAACACAATTTCGAACATGAGCTAAATACTCGAGATGTCATATGTGTGAGTTTTGCATTCAGCTCGCTGTCCAAATTTTAAACACATTTTGGAAAGGCTCATTTTTTTCACTGCTTTATCCAGGGGTTCAGAACTATGCAAACACTTCTATAAAAGGCCATTTTTCCTAGACTCAGCAAGGCCTTTTCTGTGTTATTCTACCTTTGGAAAGCATTGATTTGTGTCTAAGACAACTCCTTCCATATTTTTTTGTCCTGAATAGAATGGGGCTCATTGGGAGTCCTGACCTAAGGAAATATCAAAGCCTCCAATATATACTCAATTACAGTTTTAAAGTTAACTCTTATCTCATTTCCTTTTATTTCCTGCTGGGGCGATGTGAGTGGAGCTTGGATAGAAGCAAAGGGTCTGCTGTATATCTTTTCAAATTTATGATTAAGAAGGTCACATATACATTTTTAAACATTCCTTTTTGATAATAAATGAAGACTAAAACTTCAAAATGTCATCGGTAGCAGAATTACTCATTTTTCTCTGGTTGGAGATCCCCCGGGCCCTGCCTGAGTGCCTGCCAGTGGTGCAAAAAGGCCCAGCTGATCTGATGCTTCATTTCTTGTTGTTTTTCTGTCTGCCTGGAATAGTTTCACTAGTGGATGAGTACGCCCAGGGCCAAAGCATTATAACCAAAAGATGCATTTCTGTTCCTGAGTGCCCTTCTCTCCTAGGCCAGTGAGGGGGGAAGAAATAAAAAAGATATTCATATTGGTCTACATTTGTTTTAAAATAGTGGTCAAAATGAGGGAGATAAAAACTCTTCTTTGGTTGGTGCAGATTTCGCACATCCAGATTCACCCCCTCTCTGCTCTCTCCTTACAGAGCAAAGTCTATATGGACTCCAGGCCTCTGGCTGCCAGTTGTGTTCAGTTTAAAAAGAGCCATCACAGGCAGGCAGAGGGAGAGAGAAGATGGTAGCGAGGCCATTTATGCTTCTGGTTTGCTCCCTGTGATGGGTCCCAGGACAGACTGGGTCCCTCAAGGGAGGGCCACTGCTTCCCTGCCTGGGGACTTCTTTCACCACTCTCTCCTTTTGGGCTCTGGTAGCTGCTTCCTCTTCCTGTCCCTCTGGACCCACAGGTAGTAAAGAGTTCTCCTGTCCCTGTGTTTTACCTTGGGTTGTCCTACACCTGTCACCCTGCTTAACAGTCCTAGTCTGCATAACCTTCCTTCAATTATCTTCATAAGAATGTGCCATCTTGGCATTCTTCTGCATTGTCTGTGCTTAGTTCAAAAGAGGACATACATACTACTAAGCTGGAATTGATCCCAGAAGAACGCCTCTAAAACACTTCTGAGTCTAGGTTTATCCTTTCACACCATTACCTCTTTAAATTGCCTATTTCATGATCAGGTGGGCTCAACATTGTAAACTCACTTTCTGCATGGCACTGAATTTGACTTTTCTCTGTGTTGAGATGGAAATGACCAAGAATGAGTAGGAACCCGAGTTCTGTGAAAATTGGAGAAACCTGGAAAACTTTTCCCTCAATATATTTAATGTGTGGCTTGTAACCATTTATGCCATAGAAGTATAATAATTATATCTAGATGCATAAATGTTGGGGAATCTCAGAGGAACCATGTTGGTTTTTTAGCAACATTTCAAGAACTGGCATATACAAGAGGATTTACTCATTTTTAAAATTACTGACAAAAGACCTAAGTTAAAATATAGGGAGGGAGATTTCAAATCCTCACAAAGAAGAAATTTCTAACCCTCAATTCCCTCACTGGTGACGTATCAAAGTCTTGATATAATCCAGGGATTTCACAGTGGGGCTATTGGCAAGGGGATTCAGCCCTTGGAAGGCAATTGAACTTGTAGCAATTATATAAAAACAAGAATAACAGCTGCTATTTACTGAATATTCACTATGTACCAGGCACTGTGCTCCGTATGTTTCACACATTATCTCATTTCATCACACAATCCTGTGAGGTTGGCCCTGTTATTTGCCATAATGCAAAATTTAAAGAATTTAAGGAACTTTCCCTGGGTCAAACAGCTAGCAAGTAGCCGATGCAGGGTATTAACCCAAGTCTGCCTGACCCCCAAAACTGATGGTTTTAACCTCCAGTGGATGGTGTCAGAATCTCCTGGGGAACTTGGTAGCCATGCAAAGATTCTGACTCTGTTTAAGTTTCATGAGCCTGAATGTCTCTGTGTTTTTTGCAACTCTCCAGATATTTCTAATTTACACTGGAGTTTGAGAACCACTGCTCTGTAATATAATTATTTTTGTTCGAATGCCCATCCTATTCTGAGTATTATTCCTGCAGTAGTAGCTACGCTTCAAGTTTCTCTTTCACCCTTCTCCTTTCAAGCTCACAAGACTAACCTCCACTGTTACACACTGCCCACCACCAACCCCTACTTTGGTGGGTTATTTCATGAACTCTGTTCTGAGAAGGCAAGACTCTATTTTGAGTCGCATTCAGAGCTACTAAAACAGAGATCCATCTGCTCTCTTCTTCCCTTTGAAAGAGAGTGAGGGAAGCATCCTTCAAGTGCTGTTGATTCCCATTGTAAACTCAAGTGAAGAACACGCCGCTGTTGCTGACAAGGCAGGATGAGTTTCGTATTTCTCAATAATTGGAGACAATTAACCATTTTGGGGGGCTTATATTTATTCCAACTTGACTGAAGTACCTGCCTTGGCTCTATTTCTTTTTTTATTTTTGTAATATTTTTTAATATTTTATTTTATATAATTCCTACATCATTTTTCATTTTTACACAATGTATGCATTTTCATTTCGGTTATATTCCCCATACAATTCCCACCCCCCTTATTTTAGCCCTAATCCCTCCTCTCCTCCCTGCCCCCCACCCCCAATGTGTCTCTGGTTTATAGTTGCTTGTTGATTTTGATTTTTTCTTTATTGTAATTAGTCTCTTTCCTGGTCCCTTATTAATCATTTCGGGGGGCTTATATTCTACCTTGGCTATGGAGTACCTGCCTTGACTCTATTTCTAAGAATAACCCTGGTTTGGGAACTGAGCATGGTGAGTGGTAAAGGACAGAAATCTGATCTTCCCGATGCTTTCCTGCAACTGGCACCATCTGACTGTGATTTTTTCTTCCCCTTGCACATGTCCCAAAGGAAGCTGGCCAAGAAACAGAAGGAGACGCAGAGTGGAGCCCAGAGAGAGATGGGACCTGTAGCCTCGACCGACAAACCCATCACCAAGCTCAGTGCCAGTCGCAATGATGAAGGCTTCTCCTCTAGCTCGCAGGACGTTAACGGATTCAGTAAGTTGAGCCAACTAAGGGGAAGGGTCCAGCTTGCCCCTAGTACCTCTGCTGTGGTACAACATACCTCCCAAGCCTGGTTAGTTCCAAACCATAGCCAGTGGTCCACATGGTATTTAATCAACAGCTCCCAAGTCTTCATGCAGAGTTAACACACATCATCCTAAGCTAATAAAAGTGGTGAAGATCTCTAGGTTAATCCTTGTCCAAAGGAGAACCTCAAGACTGGTAACATCTAAAGCTACCTTGGTCATCAGACTCAAAGAGAGCTGTCTTTTATCCTCTTCTTCCTATATGTCAGTTTTTCCCCTGGATTTAACAGGACTGGTAGCTTCCTGTTCCAAATTAAGGAATGCAGGAAAACTAAAGGAATATGAACACATGAGCATGGAATTTTGTAAAAATCACTGATGTCTGATCAGTTTGGGATGATGCAATCTGTGAGAGGATGAAGAGAGACAGGAAACCAATACTAGCTGACCCCTTTTATCCTCGCATAGCTCTGTGAACTACTTAGTATTCTTGTTCCCATCTTATATATAAGACTCAGTGCTTGGCAGACCTTCGCAGAGTTCCACAGCTAGTCCCTGATGGACCCATGATCTGAGGGTAACTCAGACCCATTATTCTTAAGCTCAAGAGTAACATATATCTGAACACACAACTTACCTACTAAGTCAAATTCTCCTGGCTGGAGGGGGTGGGAGGTGGTGAGAGGAAGGTGGGAACAGAGGGATGTGGATTTTGTAAAAGTCACTCAAAAGGTTCTTATAGGCACTCTGGTGGAGGGAGGCAATAGCTGCTTTCAAATATTGATACTCTGCCTTGGGGAAGAATTCATTTTAAACATATAAAAAGATTGAAAGAATAGTAAGATGAATATTCATATTCCCATTTGCCTAGATTCACCGGTTGTTCACATTTTATAATATTTGCACTTTCTATATATATATACACACAGATACATATATATGTACATTATAATTTACTTATATATTTCTTTATGTGTAGTTCCCTGAACCATTTAGAAGTATGTTGCACACCTCATGACACTGTCATTTTAGAATTTAGCATGGGTTTCCCACGAACTAGGACAGCTCATCAACTTAACCACAATAAGATGATCTGACCCAAGAAATGTCACCTTGTTTCAATGATAACTAATGTGCTAGGTCATAGTTGAATTTCTTCAATGTCCCTGAAGTGTTGTTGTTGTTAATATTAATTATTAACCCAGGTGCTAATCAAGGTGCTCACAGTATATTTGGTCACATTATATTTGGTCATTTCAGGATGCTGGCAACTGTAAGAAGTCTAGGTCAGTTCTCCCCTGAGCTATTCCGTAATCCAGATTTCTCTGATTTTTTTTCTCAAGATTGCATGCCGGTTAAACCCTTTGCATTGTGTACTTGCCTTTGCATCATGTCAACATACTCTCGTTTTGCCCATCAATGGTAATACTAGGTTTGAGCATGTCTTGAAGTTGAGTAATGGCTTTTAAAACACAGTCTAATGGCACATACTGGTTATTTCATGAGCAAATATTTCCCTTCCATTTTTCTCAGTGAGCAGAGCGAGTTTTCAGTCTGTGTGGTCATGACACCAGCCTTTCTTCCATTCTCAACCCAGATGAATCTCTGGGATTTACCATTCTCTAGGGATTAGGAAAGGGGGTATTGACATAGGTCAGGAAAGGGAGAACAAGGATTGGCAAGGAATTGGGCTTAGTTTATCCTTGAAGAAATGCCCGTCCTGCACTCCCCAAGCCTCTGGGGAGCTCCTTACCAAGTCCCCTACTTTTGATGAAGGGGCAGAGAAGTTCATTTGCAGTGCACTTGAGGCAACACACTGGCCGCATGGTATCCACTCACCTACAGCCTCTCCTGGACAACGTCTGTGCACACTGCTTTCCATTGATAAAGGTGTCTTGGGAGGACTTAAAGTGCCAAAAACATTATGATCAGAGATGCATGAAAATAATATACCCTCAAATAGTAGGTATTTGATCTTAAGCTTTTTGATCTTATGTGAAAACACTGATTTCTTGGTTACACTGATTTCTTGGATTTCGAGAGGAATCATTACTACCTTTTCCCCTATGAACCAAAGATGAGATTCATAAGAGGAAAACACCCAAGACTGAGGTAGATTGACCAGCCAGAGAGGAAGAAGCATATCCAATAAAGTCTAATTAGATATTTTAAAATCCAGAGACAATTAATATATGCATACACTGACATACACACATTTAATGCACAGATATGTGTGTGGGTATATGCATTCACTTTAATAAAATTGCTTTTAAAAAGACAGAAAAATTTCATTTGACATATTCAATTATGAAGAAATTTTTCATTTGTTTGAATCAATGAAAATTTTAGGACTCTTATGCCACTGGTGTCCTCAGGTTATAACCACAAACATGCTCTGGGAATTCCTTAAATTGCCCTGGAAGGTGTCTGGTACTTTTGAAAATGCCCTGGGATGGAACTACTAGGATGAGATTTGAGAGGGGCATGGAATGTAAGTAACAGTTACACTGGAGATGTAGAAATTGCTTCTGAAATCACACTGATGTGTGTAAAATTGAATCTATTTTCGAGGCATTAGGGAAGCGACTGGCATCAGCGTCTTTAGGAAGCCTGAGATTATTTGCAAATTCTGAGGAAGCACTGAGAGAGGCAGAGCACAATAATGGTTGTCACATCAGAAAAGATTACAGGAGATCATATGGAAGCTCTATGTTTAGTAGGTCAAGAAATCTCCACACAGCTCTCCATAGTGGTTGGAGAGCTCCCACCATAGTGGTTGCACTCCCACCAACAGTGCAGGAGAGTTCCTTTTTCTCCACAACCTCGAACAGCAATTCCACACCTAGGTATTTACCCAAAGGACACAGAAACATCAATTCCAAAGAGCACCTGCACCCCTATGTTTACAGCAGCACTATTTACAATAGCTAAGCTTTGGAAACAACCCAAATGCCCAAAATAGATGACTGGATCAAGAAGATGTGGTACATATACACCATGGAATATTACTCAGCATTCAAAAAAGACAAACACATGCAATTTGCTGCAACATGGATGGCGCTGGAAGAGATCATGCTCAGCGAAATAAGCCAGAAAGAAAAAGAAAAATACTGGATGGTCTCACTCATAGCAGGAATCTAGAAAACCTAAATAAGGGACCAGGAAAAAGAATAACTATAAAAAAGAAAATATCAAAATCAACAAACATCTATGAACCAGAGACACGCTATGGGGGGTGGGGGGTGGGGAAAGGAGAGATTGGGGTCAAAATAAGGGGATTGTAATTGTATGGGGAATATAAAAATAAAATTTAAATTAAAAAAAAAAAGATTACAGGAGAACATACCCTGAGCAATTATTTCATTATTGAACACGTGGGCCTCTGCCTAATTCAAACTCTGCATCTCCCAGTGCACGTTTATTTTCTGGGGGTGGGGGTGAGGGGGCGGGCGGTGTTCTATTCCAAGTGACTGCTAAGTGCTAAGTTGGACAACATCCGTTCAAGCAAGCCTCCCAGTCTCATAGAGAAACATGACCTCCCGCATCCAGGGGTGACGGGCTTTGTCAGCTGCAGGCTCTTTGCTGTGGAGTGCTTTGGCATTCTTGAAAAAAGAATGTATGTCACATTTCAGGAAAAAACAATGTGCATTGTTTTCAGTTTAAGGAAATGTTGACGTTTCTTAGGTAATCTCATTTTGATCTTATTGCCCTGTGTACCTGCTTATTATTTTTTCTGAGTCTTTTGCTCATTAGGATTGTTTTCTGGTTCTTTCTCCTGATGATTTCTTTCTCTATCCTTGCTTAAATCTTCTTTATAAATATTTTGTTGCTAGCGCCACCTTCTCGATCATTTTCAGTTCAACCCAAAATGCTTCAAAACAAGTCGCTATTAAATTCCTATGATATGGGGGCTTGGTTGCCTACCATTTCCATAGTGGCACTGACAGACTCACCCACTGGGTGCCATTAGCTCATTCTGGCTTCACTACTTTGCTTCTATTCTATTGAATTGTTTCATGGCTGATGGTGGAGGCACTCCATCTCTAAGGGCTGTCAGACTTTGGGCCATCAAGCTGTCTGCTAAGTAAAGAAGCAGGCATGGTTGTGGTCTTGGAGGTGAGATTCAATGGCCATTCTCTCAACACTGAGTACATTTTTTTCCCTGTGCTATGAGTCTTGGGCACAATTCAAGGGTAATTACAAAAATTAATAAAGTGGGGCATTGTCTCACAAATCATAAAACATTTCTACTTAGAAGTTGTCATAACTTACAAAAGTCTTTTGAAAAACACTTAGGCCATAGATCCTTATTCCTGCCCCATAGATAGTACTTCTATTATTACTCTTTTTTTTTTTAAGGTTTATTTATTTATACAAGCACTGGCTACAGTCAGAACCACGGGAGGGTGAGAGAATTCACCAGAGACAGAGCAGTGAACAGAACAGGCAGACTGACTGAAATACACTACTGAGGGGAGCAGCAGGAACGGCACGAGAGGTCTGCGCGCCATGTTGGACCCTCGCCGGTGGCCGGGGATCGAACCGGAGCTGTAGAGGCTGCAGGCAGCTTCGCAGCCCAGTGCTCAACCACTGCGCCACCAGGGGAGGCCCTATTATTACTCTCTTTCTACAGATGAGACAACCACAGTTGAGGTTCAGAGAGACTCTGTGCCCCAGATCACACAAGCATTTGCAGAGTCATAATGAGGACACGTGTCTCCTGACACCACTTAGCTTCTCTCTGCCTGCTTCCCCAAAGTATTTGGGAAATATCCAGTAAGAATATCTACAATAAAACTGCAGTAAGAGAACAAATAATCAGATGAAGGAAAACATAAGTGAAGACAAGGTCAAGATCAAGATATAATTATCTTAAGATGCGATCTAAATTTGCGGACTATTAACTTTCAAATTCAAAATTGGCACTGAACTTTGTAGTAGCAAAATTTCCACTTCCAAATGGGAACA